GCCCCGAGCTTTGATGATTTTAACTATCCTCATCATGTTTGTTGTCTTCACAAGGCTCTTTATGGCCTCAAACAAACTCTTCGAGCTTGGTTTGATCACTTTAACATTTTTCTTCTTCAAATGGGTTTTATCTGTAGCAAGGTGAACTCATCTCTCTTTATTTTCAGAGCTACTGATATTATTATTCTTTTATTGGTGTATGTTGATGACATTATTGTCACCTATAATAAGTCATCTTCTCTTTCTCCTCTTCTTGCTCGCTTAAACTCTGAGTTTGCAATGAAGGATCTTGGCCCTTTACATTATTTTTTGGGCATTCAAGTTCTCCCATTTTCTGGTGGGCTATTTCTCTCTCAAGTGGCATGTGCTCATGCTTTACTTGTCAAAGCCACTATGGTGAGTGTAAACCAATTTGTACTCCCCTTGCTTTGAAACACTATCTTCACAACTCTAGTGACCAATTGGTTGATGCTACTTTATATCGTAGTTTCGTGGGTGCTCTTCAGTATCTCACCCTCACACGGCCAGACCTATCTCATGCTGTTAATTTAGCGTGTTGATTTATGGATAAACTAACTACTCTACATATGCAAGATGTGAAGCGCATTCTAAGGTATTTACAAGGCACTATGGATTATGGTCTTTGTCTTTTATCTACTTCTTCCTTAAGTCTTTATGCATTCTCTGATGCAGACTGAGCTAGTTCTTTCTTAAGTCTTTATGCATATAGTTTTTTAATATGCTAATCAAAACTATATGCATATCTTTAGACCAATTGTCATTCTTTTTGATATATGAATTGTCTTTCCGCGTTATGACATTGTTTTGGTGCTATCCTTAACATCTTGTTGAAACTATGCTATGAACTCCTAATCACCAAAATTGGGTGCAGTATTGTTAACTTTTGCTTTCAAAAACATCTCTTAGGTGGAGTAAGTTTCTTATCATAAGTAGTACTATTGTAAAATTTCCATACCCTCATTCAAGAAAATTTGAAGAGCTAGAGTTTAACCTAATTTTTTTTTCTCTTTTTTTTTATTAAGTTAAACCCTTGTAGGGCAAAATTTATTAATAAAAAAATTATAAAAAAATTAGGGGAGGACATAAACCGTGCCCCTTACATAATAAAAGAAATTTAAAGGTTTACGTTAAATGCAATTACATTTTTCATCATATTCTTGATGCTAATTTTTTTTTCCCGGCCGATGTATATATTATATATGTTATCACTTTGCAGTCTTTCTATTAAAATCAATTATCTATCATATAATAGGTATAAATTATAATTTTATATTTTTGTAAGTTAAATTTATGGCCATTTTTTAATTACTTTGTGTATAATACACAAAATGGCTACAAGTTAAATAGAGTGAGTAGAACTAGTGTGTTATCTGAAATTAATTAACCATAGTTTGTCTTACTAAATTTTCTTATATAATCATAGTCATGGTTCTATGCAATTAATCTATATCACTAATAAAAGTAACTTAATATGAAAAATTTTTGATTCACCATTTTACGCTTATAAAGAATTAAAAAGTCAACTCTATCCTTCCACACTTAATATTTAAATTATCATCATATACTTATGCATTTAAATCTCCAAATTACTTCATATATTCCTAAATATCTGTCGTTTAAGGTTTTTGCACAGGATTAAAGAAGCTATTAAATAACTCTAATATGAGTAAAAAATAATTATACAAGACTAAAATACCCTTATTCAATACATATTGGGAAGAAAAGGAATATGAAAAGCACTTAGCCTCCACCTAATCTAATGCATTGAAAAGTTAAAGGTAAATTTGGAAGAAAAAATATTAATTATGTTTTAGTTTCATTAAACGACAGATATTTAGGAACAAAGGGAGTACATCTAAGATCACTTTTAATTATATATTTGGAACAGAGGGAGTACATCTAAGATCACTTTTAATTATATATTTCCTATGTATAAATTTTAATTTTTATGAAACTTTTTGAATGATTATATTACTCTTAAAAAATATATGCATCATTATTTTTAGTCACAATAAACTTTTCAGTCTATGTTAAGATTTTATGTGAAAACTTAATATGCTTTATAATACACATTATAGTATTATATATTAAATTTTATCCCAATTGACCTAAATAATCATAAATACAGTAAAGTTTCAATATGATTGGTATATTGATAATTATTTTTATTTTATTCAATTATTTATAAGTGGAATCTTAATCAATTAATTTTTTAATTATCTATTCTCTATTTATGCATTATTATAAGTTTTAACAAAATATTCAAAAAAAAAAAATTCAAAAACTCCATCAATATTTATTAAGATAATATTATGACTAAATATGTATATTTTATTTTTCATCAAAACTATTTTTTTTTTAAGATAAAAAATAATGTATATATAGTTTTACATGATTTTTTAATTACAATAAACTTTTTAAACTGTGTTAAGATTTTTTGTGAAAGTTTGAAGTTTTTTAAAATTTTAATATGCTTTATAATATATATTATAATGTTGTATATTAAATTTTATCTCAATTGACATAACTAATCCTAAATATAGTAAGGTTCTAATATGATTGGTATATTAATAATTATTTTTATTATGTTCAATGATTTATAAGTAGAATCTTAATCAAATTAATTTTAAAAAAATTAATTTTCAAACATCACTAAAAAAAACTTTCAATTAAAAAATTATAGAAAAAAATAGAACTTTAATTATTTATTTTCTTTTTTTTTCATTTAGTTAAAGTTAGAATAACAAATCTTGAAAATATACAAATTTTTTAAAAATTATATAATGGAGTATGAACGATGAAAAAATAAGTTTCATAAATTTGAGATGATATTTAATTCAAGTATACAAATACCAAATATTTATTTATTAATTTAAAAAAAAACAATTAGTTACGTGCAATGCACGTGGTGCATTACTAATATATATAAATGTCTCATTTTTTAGGATTGTTCAACTTGTATAAATTCTTAGTTTTATATTCATTCAGAAAACATTTATTTTGATCGTTAAACTAAATTTCAATTATATTTATTTTTATCGTAAACAAATAGCATGTATCATTACATTTGATCTACAAATTTGATTTCGGTTAATTCAATTTTTATTTACTAAGTTTGAATTTAAAATTTTAATTAGAATATGGCAAAAGAAATTATTTTTAAATAAACATATTTTAATATTTTGATAACTATAGAATACTACTAATATTACTTAATAAATATTAATAGGTCTCATATAACATTTTGGCCTTGCAACATGTCTAATATACCTAGATACGGTTTATTAGGATTCTTCTAATTTGTTTCCCTGGTCCGCAATTCTTATCATATTGTCATCCACCCGAGAAGCCAATTCAAGTAAAATATGAATTTTTTTTCTCTTTGATTATCCTAGAGTATATATTTTTGTCCACTTAAATAAATGTTTTTAACATATTTAGCTTTATAATTTAATTTTTTTCAAAATGATTCACGTGCGACACACGTTTTCTCCAACTAGTTATAAATAAATAATAAAATGTTTCAAGGGTACAAAAAAATATCTCAATAAATAGCACATTAAATATTTAAAGAGCGGTAGAATAGATCAATAATTAAGTTGAACAAGAATTACAATAAGAATTAATTCTTCCATATACCTGCTTTATTATTTAATTCTTCCATATACCTTTGCCTAAAGAAATGGTAAGTGAAAAGTGATGGATTGTTTTTAGGGAGGAGGGGGATGGGGAGGGGGAGAATTCAATGTGCATGGTTAAGAGAGGGATATTTGGTGGCGGTTGGATGAATCTATTTGAGACACTCAAATAGACTTATTAAAGTTTTTCCTATTTTATCTTATAAAATTATAAATTTATATTTATTATCTATAATCTATAATATAAAAAGAGTTATATTATCACATAGGTTTTAATAAGATCTTCTGACTGTCTCAAATAAACTCATTCAACGACCATCAACACCTTCTCCAAACCATTCACATTAAATTTCTCCCCCCACCAGCCTAAAATCAAGAAAATATTTATTACAATAGTAATGTCATATGACAATGTGATATAATATCATAAACCAATAATAAAATCTTAAATAAGCAAATAGACCCCATAAAAATTAATAAGTAAATAATTTCTCACTCTTCCTCCATGTAAATCAAAGTGAGTTTAACACACTTAGGACTTGTTTAGTATGTTTTTTGGGAGGGGTTTGAATTGGTTTGTCCAAATCTGGGTTTGACCTAAAGATGAGATTCAACATTCAATGCTGTCCATACTCATATCTGGTATGCGCAGGGATATTATGATAATATATTTATATTTAAATGACTATTGTGTCTCTTAACCAATTTATGTATTTGGGATATATAAGATATATGGGATATAAATACATTTATATGTTAAACTCATTAACTCACATATGAAACTTATCCCTTTGGGTTTCGTAAAATCCACTTATGTGAGTTTTATGATCGGGCCGGGTTTTAAACCTTGGACTAAATGTATAATTGCCAAAGATGAGTTTATGGGGATTTAATCCATAACTCAGAATCTAAAACTCCCCAAACCCTACATGTCAAACATGTCCTTAGGGTTTTATTATTGGTTGGTGATAATATCACCATTACATTCTAAAATTTATCAGTTGTCACTTATATTGCACACCCTTAATAAATTTAATAAGACAGAAGGTATGATTCACAAAAAAAAAAATTAACTGAAATTTGAATCAAATTGTGAATCCTGAATGAGATAAGTCATAAGGCTTGGCAAAGATTTGAATTTCATGTTACAAAACACAACCACCGAACACAGATCATATCAAACACTAGCAAAATGCCTCTTCTTCCTCAATGTCCAGGCCAATGCCTTCTCTAACACGCCCGCAAAACCTGGTCCTGTGTCCTTTGTGTCCTTGCTCTAATGGTTCTTCTTCAAGCTTCCAAGCTCAATCTCCCCCTATCTTCTCTCTCCTCCCCCCAAATCACCTCTATCCTCTTTGACCCACCCTCTCTCTCTCTAGCTCTCAAGCACTCTGACTCCTCTTTCTCTCTCTACCCCTCCTTTTCTCCCTTCTCCCTTTCCACCCCTTGTCTACCCTCTCCCCAGACCCATATTCCCCCTCCCACCTCCTCGGCCACCTTCCTTCACCTTCGAAACGATAACCCTAATTCCCCTTCTCGCCATCTCTTCCTTACCTCCTCCCCTCTCTCTGGTGGCTCTGCCGTGCTTATCTGCTTCTATATGCTCCAGAAAAACCACAACTCTTTCACCAAAGCTAAAATTATTTGTAATCATAGTGATCTTAAATATGATGATAAGAAATTCGGGGTTGTTTTCGGTGTGAATCACGGGGTTTCGATTATGTTGGTTGGGTCGATTAACGTTTTTGCGATGTATTCGGCTTCAAATAGTAAAATTTGGGTGTTTTCGGTCAAAATCATGGATAATGAGGAGGATGGGGTGAATATGAAGTTGATCAAGTGTGCTCTGATTGATTGTACCGTGCCGGTATTTTCGATTAGTATTTCGTTTGGGTTCTTGGTTTTGGGGGAAGTCAATGGGGTCAGGGTTTTTCCGTTAAGGCCCCTCGTGAAAGGAAAGGTTAAAAAAACTAGGCGAGTGTGTAAGAATTTTAATGTTGGATTGGATACTGGGGAGTTCGATGGACAGAGATTGAATTTGCCCAATGGGGTAGCTCGGGAAGTCAATGGAAGTGATGAATTTGATAACAATTCAAAGGATTGCACAAATTGTGGAGTTGTTGGTCGTGGTACCAGAAGTATTGCTCCTGAAGGGACTGTTGAGGTTTCTTCTAATGGCCACCGGGAAAAAAAGATAGACAAGCAAGGTAAGTTTGTGAGACACGTGTGGATTGTCTTGCTGTAGTTATTTTGTTTGCAACAAGTTAGGAGTTTGGCATTGGTTTATGTGGAAGTTCTTCTTTAACCATTTGTGTACTAGGTGTAGTTTCAAAAAATTTTGGATGAGATTCTTGCAATGTCATGTCTTCAAACTTACATCTGTGTTGTTGAATTGTTTTTATCTATCAATTACCATTACTGTTCTTTGTTCGCTCCGTTCACTAAATCTTATTGCCAAAAGAGCACATGGCTTCTACCGAAGTATGGGCTGCTGTTTAGTTGTAACTAGCTTTCTCAGTTTTGTATTGCCTTGTTAGAACCTACTCTGCCTTGTTAATAGGGCTACGCATCCCAAGTATCAAACCTCATGTGTTTACTGCTTTCCAGGCATTCATTTATGTTTTAAAATTACTTTGGGTATCTAATGCTATGAGTTTCTTGTTAGACCAATAGTTTCACTATTTTTCACTTTTTTCCCTGCAAAAGACGTAGTCTGATAAATATTCCTACCACTATTTGGAGATGAACTCAAGGCAAAATCAAATGAAGGCCAAAAACTTGCATAAACGAGATGAATGAAAGAAAATACAAAACAAGAAAAGATAATGGTCTAAGGTGGAGGATAGAGAAAGAGGAACAAAAAGGAATTAAATTAAGCTTAACGTTGTGATTACTATTATGGTCCTTTCTTACATTGCCTAGTAAGAGTGACCACTGACCTTCATAACATAAATAAATACTTATATAGTCGGGTGCACTCTTAAGGTAATAGCGTATGGCATGAGGATGGGCTTCGGTTATGCGCCCACACTTTGGCCATTATTACAGGATATGATTCTTCCTATATGAAAGTTATACCTGATGTAGTTTGGTAAATAATCTGACAACTGCGGCTGAAGATAAATAAAAAAACTCGTATTGAGGTTGAAAATTTGGGCAAAATCTGATTTTTGCTTAGAAAGCTTAAAATTCCATGACGGATTGAGCAACAAGGTATGCCGCTCAGAATTACCAAGCAAATGAAGCAGAATGAGAGGAACAAAAGGATTGTATACTTTTCTTTGACAATGAAGAATTCCATGTTGATGAATTAAAAAGAACTTCGCGGAGCTTGCTTATGCAGACATCTAAGAGGGATCAATAGCCTTGGGGACTATATATATAGCCTTAATATAATGAGTGGCAGCTTTAATGTAGATTCATCATCATCTCAATAAGATTGAGGTACAATTGTGCCCTGGAGTCTCTTGATCTTCACATCGTATGCTATTTCTCAATTGAACCATTTAGCTCAGCCATGAAACCAAGTACTGCCTCGCAATTGGTTACTCTTTAGTCCCTCTATCCATTGTATGAAGTCTGTCAAAACTATTTTTAAGAGCTTCCACCCTTAATGATCACCTTAAGTTCTGGCTTTTTAGTGGATATTGAGCAAAATGTGGAGGTACATTGCTGATCATGGTTCATGGTTGGAACTAAGCTTCAGTACGACTTGATAATAGCTCTTCATAAATGACATTTTCGACACTAGCTTACAACCTATCACTCTTCACTTGTTAGCACTTAGCTCGTCTTTGCCATCTTGCATGGCCTAAACCACTTGGACCATAATACTGCTGGCTATGTTTTTTTTGAGCTCCATTTAAATTAGTGACTACAATCCATCTTATTGAAGTCTATGTCTTGGTGGGTGCTTGGCGTAAACTGTGAAAGATCTTATTTGCTTGTGCAAAATGAGTAGATCTTATATGCTTGTACATGATGAATAGGTTCTGTAAGAGATAAAAATCGATGATACCTCTCACTAAAGGTTGAATTTGATATTTTTGGTATAGAATTTTTCTGAACTTGATCTCCCAATCTTCTTGTTCTACAAAACGAACAAACTGTCAAAAATCGAAGTGTTTCGATCGAAGGCACTCCGATACTTAAGTCAGTAATGGAATAAAAATAATTGGTAGAAGATAAGGAGAGTTCAGCGTGGCTTTCACCTTGGCTCCTTTTGATTTTTATAGACCCTGTTCAGTTAGGGTTTCCATGAATTTCGATTCAAGGTGACACACCTTCTTCCAATTAAACGATTCAGTTTGGAAAGCTGCTGAAATTTCTTTGGTAGTTCCCTTGGCTTATAATTAAGCTTATTAGCTTATCTTGCACGCCTGAATTTTTTGCGAATCTTTATTCTTTCGTTTACTGTTTCAAAACAGCTTGGTCATGACGAGGACCGAGCTCTTTCATTACACACCGAACACCTTGACTAGGGCCGAGCTCTTTCATTGCTTGCCGAACGAATTGATCAGTTCGGCTAGGCATGTTTGTCTGATACTGGCCTCACGTGCTTTGCCTTGTCATCCTCATGTGGGCTTATTTAATGTCATAACACGTGTAATAATGGGAGCCACTCCCTTCACGTTCTTTTGTTCCTCTTTTATTCCTACATTCCTCTTTTATTCCCACAACAACATTATAGATCTCCTTCACAATCTATGAGTTGAAATATGTGATATATAAGTGGGCAAAAATTCATAATCATGCCTATTATTTGGTACAAGTGCCTCCTTGAGATCATGTTTTCCAGATCATATGGACTACTAGTTAAAAGGTTTTCACAAGCTCATCAACATTGTCATATTCTTATGGAAGGTGATGACATCATACAAAAAGACTGTTGTTAATTTATGGAAAGGAATATACTCCTTTAAGGGTCTTCATCTCTTCCAATGTTTGACACCCTTTCTACCACGTCTTATATTCACTTTTAGTGTTCTTGTTCACCACATCCAGGAAATTGAGCATTTTTCTTTTAGTTTGGTGTTGCAAGCAAATAAGTGGTCAATCTTTGTCAAGCAATTTAGGAGAACTATGGTATTTATCTTCGAATTAATTGCACTCCTAATTTAACCCTCTACCCTCAGAACTTCTAATAATTCTATGTGCTTTCCTTCAAGATCCATGTTCATGACATTCTGTCCATGAGCACAAAATGAGAGTTAGATCTTCTGTCTCAAGGAATCATCCCGCCTTTACTTTTTCAAATCTCTTAAGATGTCTTTGATCTCCAATATACATGTTATTTTTTTTTCAGATTCCAAGATTGATGCATTGGTGTGTAAGTTGTAGAAGAGACTTTTCAATTGATGTTAATGATTCCCGTTCTTCTAGAATGGATGAAGAGGACAAAATTTATGTGTATATCGACAATCTTCACTACCTTGTCTCATTTACAAGAATAGAAGGTATTAATGACATTGTCAATTTGTTGTTGGATATCATCTTAATTTTTGTGCAAATCTTCAATCTCTCATCCATGGTGTTTGATCTTGTTGATGAAGTATAAATGCTTAAATTACACTCTCTCCAACAACTTAAGCTTTTAGAGTAGATGATTGTTTAATATGATATCAGAACATGAGGTCTTGGGTTCGAATCTTGTCGTCACTCAAATTATTAAAAATATTTTCATGTGATAGGTCCAAAATCTAGCTGCACATAATGGGGCCTGCTGAAGAAAAAATACTCAAATTACACCCTCTCCAACAGTTTAAGTTTTTGAAGTAGATGGTTGTTTAACAGATTTCATCATGACTTTGAATATTTATATCTTGTGCGGTTTGGTAAACATGGCAAAGAAGATAAATTTTGGCTGCTCTTCTACAAAAGTGATGTCTCCCAGTTGGTTGTCGAGTGACTACAATATAAAGTGTACCCAGATGAAACTAAAAATTTTGTAAGATTAGGCTTTTGTTTATAAACTGAAAATCCTGCAAAGTAGGCTTTAGATCCACAGCTGGGCCTCAAAGTTCAGTCCAATAAGGAAGAAACGAGGAATGATAGCAATGTAAAGATCTAACTAGACTTCTTCCAAAACTCTGCAGCCCTCTTTGTGAAACTTGATTCCCCATCTCTTGCACTCAAAAGTTGATTTTCCATCTTGATTGCATCAATATGAAAATACCTTGTGCTGTTAAGGAGCTTTAAAAAATGGTAGGAAATGAGGGGATATCATTAAGGAGTCCTCCAAAGAAACATAATGAAGGCTAAAAAGAAAACCAAAACAATTTGAAACCAACATTTACAATAAGAAGACAAAAAGGCAAACGGCTCCACTAATTGTGTAAGAACACCTCATTGGCAGTAGATCAAAGACATCTAATTATCACTTAGTTCATGTATACTGGGGAACTGGGGAATCTGACGTTTAGACATATAATCACATTCAACATGCACATAATGCTGCCTAGATCGAATGAAATGTTGTTGTCTAACTGGTACATTGCATTGACATGGGTAGAGGGTACATACGTTCTTTTATTAAAAAAAAATTTGGCAGTATTTATTGATTGCACATATTCATGTTTCTTCAATTCCTTCGGAACTTTTTCTTCAACCTCTATAGATGTTGAACTAGAATAGTGAAAGTTCCTCCTTTTGGTATATTTGGCTGATGACATTTTCTGTCAGGTTTTTAACTCTTTCATTACTAAACATTTCTAAAAAATCTGGCATAGTATACCTCAATTTCATTTTGGACAGCTTATTTATAAAACATTACACGAACTTGTGGTCATTTATATTTTGCTAGCAATGCACCACGTGCAACGCGTGTGAATAGTTTTTATATACAAAAATTAATAAAACATATTAAGTATATGTGTATTTGAATTAAATATCATTTCAAATTTAACAAACTTAATTTTTCATTGCTCATATTCTATTATATTCTAACTATTAAAAGAAAGATAAAGAAGAAGAAATAGTTAAAGTTATATTTTTTTAGAATTTTGTGATTGAGATTAATTTTTTAGTGATGTTTGGGAAATTAAATTTTTTGAAATTCATTTGATTAAGATTCTACTTATAATTCTTTGAATAAAATAAAATTAATTATCAATATATATCTTAATTACATTGGAACTTTATTATAATTAGGAATTAGTTAAGGTCAATTGGGATAAGATTTAATATACAACTCTATAATATATATTATTAAGCATATTAAAATTCTAAAAAATTCAAGTTTTATTGAAAAATATACTACAATATCTATTTTTACATTAAATCTTAGTACAACTTAAAAAGTTAATTGTGATTGAAGAATTAAACTGATGTAACATAAATTGATTTTA